TTCAGCAGGGTGCTTTAATAAAGGGAATGGGACCGTGGACTATACTATTGTACATAGTACATATTATCTGTTTGCTGTAAGTATTGTCCTGCTCCCACTGTATTGTCTCCTACTTGTGTTATACCCGTTTCTGCATTTTTTAACATAATGTGTCTAAAACTTTGGACTTTGTTAGAAATGTCCATAATCTTACTTCAATGCATCGCTTATTATATGTCTAATTCTTTTGACCGCATTGACATACACTGTGTAATCTGCCTTGATTCTTAGTGAAAGGGGAGAACGATAAATAAAAAAAAATTCAATTTAATTTAATTTTGTCCTAAATTTTGTTGTTGTTGTTGTTTAGTCACAGTGTCGAGTCCTACTCTTTGCAACCCCATGGACTTGATCCCGCCAGGCCCTCCTGTCTTCCGCCGTCCTCTGGAGTTTGCTCAATTTCATGTCCGTTGCATCGGTAACACCGTCTAACCATCTCATCCTCTGCCGACCCTTTCTGTTTGCCCACATATTGATCTCAACCCTAGGGCTTGTTAGTCTGTATGTGCCGTACTGGGGATGAAGTGTTGGATGTGTCCTAAGGGTTGGGAAGCAAGAACTCAGTATGCCTCATGCATCCCAGGACTTCCAGTTCTTCTACGACATGGGGTGTCTCAGGATATGCCACCCCCTTCCAGGTTCCTGTGGTCATCAGCTTCTTGGCTCAGAAAGCTGAAACAAGATGTCCAGGACTCCCTTTCTTGCCGATGCAAATTCTGCTTGGATGTCGGGACAAGTATGCTTTTCATTAGGCTTGGTGGCAAGAGGACATGAAGCAACCTTCCCAGACTTCTGATAGCCGAAGTGCACTGTCTTGTCTAAATTCAGACTGAAGGTATGCATCACCCTTACTCTGAAAAGATCTACACTTCAAGGTTTGGTTCTGGTGGCCCGGGCCTCACATTCACAGAAGGCCTTGATTTTAGACTTTCGACATTATCTCTGAATGAAGTTATGTGTACAGTCACAGAAATAGACTGGCAGGACTGAAAGAAGAAGGCATTCATCACACAACTTTAAACTAGTGCACCATGACCAGGCCACACTGCCAGTAGTGCACTGTAGTCCACGCTGACTGTAGTTGACAACTCCAGGTTGGGGAATTCCTGGAGATTTGGGGGTGGAGCCTGGGGAGGGTGGGGTTTGGGAAGGGATGGATCTGCAAGGGGATATAATGCTATAGAGTCCACCTTCCAAAGCAGCCATTTTCTCCAGGGGAACTGATCTACATCGGCAGAGGAAAAGTTCTGGGAGGTCTCTGGGCCCACCTGGAGGATAGCAACCCTACGTGCATACTATGAATTACTATCCTCCTCTGTCGGTGGGACCACAAAAAATGAAAAACACCTGGGCCTCCCATGACCTCTGAGAGGCCCTGACACTTGGCACATCTTTAAAAACTGCTGGGAAGACCCCGGTGCTTCAGGAGCCAAGCAAAACATTTTGTTCATGTGCGTGCATGCGTGTGTGCATGCATGCACTCTTGCTCTTCATTAGAGGGTTGTTGGGGGGAGGTAAAATAGAGAAGAGGCAAATCCTGAACTTCTTGGAGGAAGGGCGGGGTTAAAATGTCCTTTGTGTTATGGGCTGTCCAGTCACTTCTGACTTAAGGTGACCCTATGAACTAATGACCTTCAAAACAGCCTATCACTGACAGCCTTGTTCAGGTCTTGCAAACTGAGGGCCATGGCTTCCGTGACTGAGTCAATCCATCTAATGTTGGGTCTTCCTCTTTTCCTGCTGCCTTCAGCTTTTCCTTGCATTATTGTCTTTTCCAGGGACTCTTGTCTACTCATGATATGACCAAAGTGTAATGTATTGGAACGATTACATGAATCACCTCATAGGACTCCCATGTTAAGCTTCGAGCCAAACCAGGGCTCCTCTGAACGAACTTCCTATTGGTCGCTCTGCAACAGCGACCAATCAGAACTGTGCCATTCCCTGCGAGGGAAAGACTCCCATTGGTCTTTAACTCATCAATCTCATTGGTTGTTAAATGTAAATAGGTGTGGCTATATTAGCCCGGTAATGTTTAAAAGGAGGCTAGCTCCCAATGTTAAACTGTTCTGGTTTCTTACTGAGTTGAGTGCTTGTTCGTTACTTCCAATAAAGCTGAATCACTTGCTGAATCACTCTACGAGTCCTTTGTTAGCACGATCTAACAATTGGCGACGAGGATGGGATGTTAGAGCAGGTAGGCAGCCCTGCGGACATCCACACTTCGGACTCGGAAGAAAGCGAGCAGAGCACAGCAGCCGATCCGGCGGAGGCGCCACCAGCTCCGGTGCCCAAGTCTCCCACGATGGCTGGAAGCCAGAAGTTCGAGTGCTTCGAACCCTCCTCAGAAGACTGGGACTCCTACCTATCCAGGTTCAAGTTCCATCTGGAAACGCATGACATTACTGACGAGGCCAAGAAACGAGCATGCCTCCTGAGTTCCTGCGGGAAGGGAACCTTCGACATAGCCATGTCGTTGATGGCCCCAACGGATATGAAAACTGTCTCCTACGCTGACATCACAAAGAAGCTTAAGGCCCATTTTTCTCCACAACCGTCGGAGATCGCCTGCCGGCACGCTTTTTACAAGCGGAACCAGGCCGGAGGCGAGACCATCGCAGATTTCGTGGCGGCCCTTCGCAAAGCCGCACGACCATGTAATTTCCACAACGTGGAGGAAGCCCTCAGAGACCGTCTCGTCTGCGGTCTCAAAGATGAAAGGCTGCAACAGAGGCTGTTCGCCCGCACCACCCTGACCTGGGCAGTGGCCTACAAAGAGGCCGTGGCCGCGGAAGCAGCGGAGAAGTCCACAAAGGAGGTCCGCCAGCGGGTGGCAGAGCCCAGTATACACGCTCAACGAGACAGCGAGGGCGAAGACGCGGATGATGACGTCAACGCCTTTAAACTTTAAAGACTTGCAAACGGAGATGATGATGGAAGATTCTCGGCATGCACTTGAATGAACTGGAATACTAACATGAACTGACTAATCCTCTGACTTATTGGTTAAAACTGAAATGTGGAATTAAAACTAACTGAATACTAACTGTTGATCTCTACTCTTGGGTTTTTAGTTATAGTGTGGGTTTGATTTTCTGTCTTTTAATCCCGGGGTTCTATTTCCTTCCCTTCTTATCTGTCTTATAGTTTGTAGGTGTGACAAAAAATAAATAAAGCTACCCTGTTTTCAGGGGATTAAAAAAAAGAGAGAGAGAGAGAGTGAACAAACATGTGGACAAGGGGGACCCAATAGATGTTTTTTACCTTGACTTCCAGAAAGCTTTTGATAAAGTTCCTCATCAAAGGCTCCTAAGTTTTTTGTTTTTTTTTAATTTCTTTTTTTTTAATTGATATTCAAGATAATACATTTTACAGATAAACAGTTGAAATTGTCTTCTAACACATGAACACGGGGTTAAACAATAAAAAGACACTCAGAAATTTACATAATAACAGTGCAATTTACATTTTAACTAGAGTCATTGTTCAGTGTTTCTACCAGTGCCTAGGAAAACCAATATATTGATGACAAAAATCATATAGCCCACCTAATTAAACAACATTATTTTAAAATTCGCATGGGCTATACTGTCCCATTCAAAGTTGTCCAAAGTTATTTTTTCTAAGATGGGGTTCCAAATGCTGAGAGGGTTATAGAATGCACATTCATTCTTAATGGTCGAGTCATATATTGAGATATTTTCAATCATAAATATGTCCCAAATTTTCGTAATCCATTGTTTCAGAGTTGGCGGTTTCTTGTTTTTCCAGTTTTTAGCGATTGTCATTTTAGCTGCTGTCAATAGTAAGTTGATAAGTTGTTTTGTTCTTTCAGGTGGACGAATTTGTGGCCACAAGTGAAGTAGCAGCATTTCCGGAGACAAAGGTAAGTCAATATTAGTAAAGTTTTTAATGTGTGTTAATATCAGACTCCAAAATTTTTGTATTTCTTTGCAGGTCCACCAATTATGGTAGTAGTCGGCTTTAACTCCGCAACCCTTCCAGCACTGTGGAGAAACCGAGGGATAGATATGGGTTAATTTGGCTGGAGTTAAATGCCATCTGGTGAGTAATTTCCAGTTCATTTCTTGTATGCTTATAGATCTTGAGAGTTTTGCTTGAGTCCTCCAAATTTCTTCCCATTGCTCGTCTGAGAGTTGTATCTTAAGGTCAGTATTCCAAGCTTTTTGATAATTATGCAAATTTTGGTTATGTGTAGATAGTATGATTTTATACAGTTTTGCAATAAGTCCTTTTTTTGGTGTTGATTTTCCTAAGATCTTCTCTAAGTCGGTAGCCGGTGATTTACTGGCGGCTAAAAAGCCAGATGTTTGAGTTAGATTTTGAACCTGTAGGTATTCAAACCAGTTAATTTTGACTTGATATTTCGCCTCTAATTCTTGTTTTGATAGTAACTTGCCCTTTAGTATTACATCCTGGATTCTGTTTATATTATTTGTTCTCCATGTTTCGAAGGAACTTGGTTTTTCTGCTGGTTTGAACCATTTTTGTCGTGTGAAACAGCTGAATTTTGAACGATTGTGGAGGAGAGTCGGTTTTAAATCATACCATGTCTTAACTGTCGCTTTCAGAAATAGATTGTTAGTCTGACAATCAGCTTCTTTGTAATTTCGGTGCCAAAGTAGTTCGTGGAAAGAGAGTTCCGAGAGGCTCGCTTCCTCGATATTTGCCCAGTCCAGAGTGTTATTGTTATGGTATTGTCGTATTGCGGCCGCTAGGATTGCTGCTTTTCTATAGCTTTCCAAATCAGGTACCGCTAGACCACCATTACGTCTTGGAGCTTTCATGGTGTGGTACGCAATTCTAGCTGGTTTCTTACTCCATACAAAAGAGTTGAGATCCCGTTGCCATTTCTTGACTTGTTGAGGTGGTATATTGATTGGCAAAGTTCTGAACAGGAAGAGATACTTGGGTAGGATAAAGGATCTAGCAATCATTATCCTGTCTAGCCACGATAGAGGTTTAACATTCCAGGCCGTCATGGTCTGTTTAACTTCGTTGTAAATTTCTCCATGGTTTAACTCGGAGATTTTAGAAAGATCTAAAGGGATTTTTACACCTAGATATCGAAAATTATTCTGAATCCATTGAAAGGTGAAGGCGGTTTTGATCTGGCTTTCCTCTGTTTTAGTTATTTTGATTGGGTAGACCATTGTCTTGCTGTGATTAACCTTTAGACCTGTTACGGCTGCGAAGTCATGCAAGGAGTTTTGAATAGCATTCAGTGATTCTGTGGGATTACTGACATATAAGATTACGTCGTCTGCAAATAAACTTAGTTTGTAGGGCTGTTCTGCGATTTGTATTCCTTGAAACCCTTTATCCGCTCTCAATACACACGCCAAAGGTTCAAGAGCAAGAACAAAGAGAATAGGGGACAGGGGGCAACCTTGCCTTGTACCCCGGTGCAATGTGAATTCCTGAGATTGGTCGCCATTAATTAAGAGTCTGGCCCTGGGTTTTTTGTAAATTGCTTGAATGGTGTTTTTGAATATTGGGCCAAAGTTCATTACATCAACTAATGTTCTTAGAAATTGAATTTCAAGGGAATCGAACGCTTTTTCGATATAGATAGCCATTAGTAGTGAACTATGCGATGTCTTTTGGTTGCAATGGTGAATAACATCGATTGTCTTCCGAATATTGTCCGCGATGTCTCTGGAGGGAATGAATCCAGACTGATCTTTCTGAATGTAGTTGGCGATGATGAGTTGTAAACGCGAAGCGATGACTGCTGTGAAAATTTTATAATCAACGTTTAACAGCGAGATTGGTCTATATGATTTGGGGTCAGCCCTGTCTTTGTCTTTCTTTGGGATTAAGATGACATTAGCAGAGTGCCACGATAAGGGCAGCATTCCAGAGTTTCTGATATGATTGCACGTTTTGAGAAGAGGGTTGATTAATTGCTGCAAGTATACTTTATAAAACTCGGGAGAAAACCCGTCCGGGCCGGGAGCTTTGTTATTTCTAAGTTTCTTTATTTCCATTTCGATTTCTTTGTCCGAAATTGGGGCTTCCATTATTATGCGATGTTCATCAGTTAATTTAGGAAGGTTGGGCACCGAATTTAAGTATTCTTCAATTTGTAGAGGGTTTGGATTGCTTGTTGTATACAAGGTTTCATAGAATGATTGTATTGTTTCAATTATTGTTTTGGTGTCAAGATGTAGCTTGTTGTGATGGTCTTTAATCTTTCCGATATATCGGTCAGTTTCCTTTTTTTTGAGTCTCCACGCAAGTATTTTCAATCTTTTAGAGTTGTTATTTTGATACTTTTTACGGTGATTAAAATCTTCTTTTAGTATTTCAGTTGTTTCTATTGCTTCTAGTTTCTTTCTGGCTTCCAGGAGTCTTTTGTACGATTTTTTATTGCCCGTCTGTTTGTGGTTATTTTCTAACTTCTTGATTAATTCGTTAAGCTCACCTTTGATCTTTGTCTTCTCTTTCTTACAGGCTGCTAGAAGGGAAATACAGTGCCCCCTGATGACCGCTTTTGACGCATCCCATACTGTTAAAAAATTAACATCAGATTGTGAGTTTATTTCAAAGTATTTTGTAATCTCATGCCGTATGGATTCTTGAGTTTTAATATCATATAATAAAGCTTTGTTGAGTTTCCATGATCGTTGGTGATTCCCCGAGTTTTGTAAATTAAATGAACCGACAACTGGGGCGTGGTCCGACCATTTTTGGATTCCAATGTATGACGATATTGATTGTCTTATTAATTGTTTCGAGATCAGAATGTAGTCGATTCTTGAGTGTGATTTGTGTCGAGATGAGTAGAATGTGTAATCTCTAGTGTTTGCGTTTTTTATCCTCCAAATATCGTGCAGATCAAATTTTTGCAAAATTAGCTCCAATTGGTTTTTTGTGCAGGGCTTCTGTGGTTTGCACGAGTGGGATTTATCGAGGTATTTACTCATTAAATAGTTCAGGTCGCCACCCAGTATTATCGGACCTGTATGGAACTTGTCAAGTTTTTTCAGCGTATCATTGATGAATTTACATTGCCTAACGTTAGGTGAATAGATGGAAGCAAAAGTGATCGGTTGGTGTTTAATATGACCTTTGATAAAAATATATCTACCATTTTCATCTCTTTCCAGAGCTTCTAATTTGAAATTCGTGTTGGCCGAAATAAGGATTGCTACACCTCTTGCCTTTGTTGTGCCATGGGCCAAGTATTGAGAAGTGAACCAGTTTGCAGGCATTACACGTTCTCCCTTTTAAAAAAAAATTTCTTGTAAGAATAAAATGTTGACATTTTGTTGTTTCATATCATTTGCTATTCTCTTTGCCTTAATTTTGTTGTTCATGCCCTGACAGTTAAGGGTTATTACTTTCAGGTCTTCCATAATAAAATAATTGGTATGGCTTGACTCATTGTGTGTTTCTGTTTTTTGTGATAAGGTTTTCTGTCTTGCGTATTTCTTATGGTTTTTATATTAACTACTTTCAAAATTTGAAACCGAGTTCTATAAACGAAGTGCATTCTATAACTCTCAGGGAAAACTAACTTCCTTGTTAAAATCGAATTTATCTTTAGTAACCTTTGTTTGATCATGTGTACCCAGACGAATTTAACAACATACTGTAAATTAATAGAATAGAGTATTTTGTGGTATAGATTATCATGTCTTCTCTCAATTATCTTATGTCTCTTTTCAATAATTTGGCATTTGAGAGTGATTTTACCTCTCTCTGCGATCGTCTTAAGTTGTAGTTTACAGGCTACTATGAATTTTAGGTTTGGTAGCAGTGTCAGATGTTTTAACCGCTCTGAAAATATACAATTTTTATGTGAGAACTTCTTCCATAAACACCACTAACCACCTTAAACAGTACCATTTGGTGATAGAAAACATTGCTAAGGGGTAGAGAACAATCTTAGGGCTTACCCGCCCCCCCCCGCCTTTAGTATGGTTGGAAATAAGCACTCCCGTTTATAAATGCTCCTTTAAATTGACTAAAATTTAACCTGCTAACCCTTCAGAGATATCATGTAGCATCTTACTGGCACGTAGATCATAGCCTATCAAAAGATATTGAATATTTTAATGATCGTATGAAATTCTTCTTCTTGACGTTGTTCTTTTCCACCTCTGTGGGGTAGTTTGTCGGGACCTCTTCCTTGAAGCTTGTTGCTCCGTTTCCATTTCTGTGACGGGGTTGAGGCCAAGTGCTAGCAGCAGGCTTTCTCCTTCATCAATATTGATAGCTTGATGAGTGGAACCATTTTTTCTGACTTGAAGAGCACCTGTCGGGAGCCATCTATATTTTATATCTGCTTCTGCAAGACGTGTCGTGATCTGCTTTAGGGACCTTCTGATCGCTAGGGCTTCAGGGGCCACATCCGGGAATATCGCTATACGATTTCCATTAAAGTCTAAATCGGAAGCAGACTTGGCCCGTTTAAGAATGTTGAATTTTTGGGAAGTGGAGTCCAATTCTACTAAAAAGTCTCTGGGACCTTTGCTGTCTTTAGAGGTTTTCACTCCAATTCTGTGTGCTCTAGTTAATTTTGGGGCATCATTGGCTTCCAATTGTAATGAGGCGGTCATCCATTGAGTTAGGAATGTAATAGGATTTTCGTCCTTTTCAGCATTTTCCGGAAACCCTCTGAGTTTAATCAGTTTCTCTCGCGACCGGTGTTCCAGGTAAAGAATTTTTTCGCGCGACCACGCTTCAGCTTCCTGGAGATCTCTGATATCCTCATTAGTTGCTGTGGCTGCTTCAAGAGCTGTATCCGCTGTGAGTGCCACGTTTTGAATAGAGTTTTGCAGCGCTTCTATTTGGTCTGTGATTGGTTTCAAAGCAATGTTAATGGAGTCGTGGATCTCTGATTTTATTTCCGCTTTAATCATTTGAAAGCTGTCTATTAGGTCCTGCTTTGTGAGCGGGTCGCTGTTTTGTGTGCCTGTCTGTGTGCCGGTCGCCATTTTGGAAGCGCAGGCCCGGTTTTGTTTTCGTCTTTTCTTAAGGTTATAAAACGGCTTACCGCTTCAGGACGTAATCGCTGGCTGCGGGGTGCCTTTAGCTCGCCGGCACTTGCTTTGTAATCGAGGGAGCGCTTGTTTTTTGATGTTTTCGGCGGGGAGAAGAGCGCGGGTGCCCGGGAGATCGTTCAAAGGGCCTCCGTCGCCGTCGCGCCCGAAGCCCCGCCCCCCCTCACAACCGAAGGTGCGCATGTTTGAAAAAGGGGACAAGGTTCTTGCACGGAATTATGCTAATGGTCACTTATGGCTCCCTGGGGTAATATCCAACTCTGTGGGTACTCGCATGTATGTGGTGCAGTTGGCTGACGGTCGAATATGGCGGCGCCACATAGATCAGTTAAGGAGGCGTTGGGCTAAGGACAGCGCTGACTCTCCGACGGCTGAATCCTCTGACGTTGAGTGGAGACCCCCAGAGCAGGCGGTGAGTACCGAACTGCCCGGTACTGTCCCCGAGTCAGGGCAGACCCCTGTGTGCGGGGCTGAAACCCCAGTAGAGTTTGTGCCTGAACCAGGCTGTATTGAACCCCACACTGGCTCACAACCTTGTGTGCCCATAAAGCCTGCACCGCTTCGCAGGTCTCAGCGTACGCGGCAAATGCCGACTTATCTCAAGGACTATGATTGCAATAAAGTGTTTTGGAATAGCTGATTTACAAAGGCTTGACTTGACTGTATGTAAATAATAAAACAAGGGTATGTTGTTTTAACTTAGGGGGGAGGAATTGTAATGTATTGGAACGATTACATGAATCACCTCATAGGACTCCCATGTTAAGCTTCGAGCCAAACCAGGGCTCCTCTGAACGAACTTCCTATTGGTCGCTCTGCAACAGCGACCAATCAGAACTGTGCCATTCCCTGCGAGGGAAAGACTCCCATTGGTCTTTAACTCATCAATTTCATTGGTTGTTAAATGTAAATAGGCGTGGCTATATTAGCCCGGTAATGTTTAAAAGGAGGCTAGCTCCCAATGTTAAACTGTTCTGGTTCCTTACTGAGTTGAGTGCTTGCTCGTTACTTCCAATAAAGCTGAATCACTTGCTGAATCACTGTACGAGTCCTTTGTTAGCGCGATCTAACACAAAGTACGATAGGCTCAGTTTAGTCATTTTAACTTGTAAGGAGCAGGGGTCATTTCCTGCAGGAGCGCACAGGAGCGGAGCTACGGCAGTAAAGAGCCCAGGGGGCGGGCACATGCAACAAGCCCCACCCCCTGCTCCCAGCAGCCCCGGGCCACGAGAAGCATGAGGATCTGCATGTCCCCCCCCCATAGCTAGCAATCCAAAACAGTCCAATGGAGCCTGAGCAGTGGGTGTTGCCTTCTGACATACTTCCGGTGATGCCAGGGGGTGTGGCATATACAAATAAGTTAATGAGTTATGCTAATAAGCTCCTGCACCTCTTTTTCTACGAAATGATCCCTGGTAAGGAGAGTTCAGGCTTGATTTGATCTAGAATCCACTGGTTTGCCTTTTTGGTCATTCCATGGTATCCATTAAACTCTCCTTCAATACCACATTTCAAATGAGCCAGTTTTCTTCCTGGGCCCTTTCTTCACCATTCAAACATACTAGATGGACTGATGGGACTTGAGGCTCAGGTAACAATCCTCATTTTAAAAATTGGTATTGTTTTCACCTGTGAATTTCACCTGGAAATCATGACAATGGTCTTCATGCAGCAAAGGGGTTGTGCCCACCAGCCCCTGGAGGTAGCCCACTCACACATCCAATCTCAACGGAACAAGTATTTTGTGTCCAGTTTAGTCCAAACGGATATCTTAGAAAATGAGCTGCAAAGAGAAAGTTGGAATTCAACCAGCTGCAATCTGGCAGACATGCAAAAGGAAAATCCCAGCTTTGCCAAGGCAGCCTTCCTAACTCCACCTTTACATTTTGAGAGGCTGGAGGTCTCTTGCCAACACTCTACCTCAAAACTCCAGACACGAAAGCAAACTTATGCGGCTTGGAGAGAGAAGTGGGCATGTAGACCTTACAGCCACCTAATTGTCTGATGATCATGCAGGGATTCAGCTCAGGAACTTACCCCCCCCCCCAACACACAAGGATGGAAAAGTCTTCTTCAGTATAGCAAGAAATGCCACTGCACCCACCAAGACAACAGGTAGAAAGCCAGTGTCTCTCTTTCACAGCTAACCCTACCTCCCAGAGTTGTTGTGAGGATAAAATAGAGCTAAGGAACCCTGAGCTCCTCAGAGGCCAGGTGGAGTAAAAATATGATTGATCGATAGTACACTCTGTTCTTCTCACACAAATCCTCTTGCAATTAAAACAAGAGCCCCCAGTGCCAGGCAGAGGAGCTGGCCTGATACTGTGGTCCCTCCTGGCTCGATTTATCCTGGCACCTGGAATACCTACATCTCTTCTGAACGGTTTCTTTCTTGCAGCCTGAACACTTTGCATTGTCCTCCTCTGCCATTGGCAGTCTGGAGTCTTTCTCCAACTTGCTGACATTAAACACAGGGTTTTCCTTGTTCAGTCCCTTGAAATTTCCAGTAAAGCGCTTTGAGTACAATCTCTCTGTGGCTGTTATAATTATGTGTGAAATACTTCTCCCCCATAAATGAAGGAAAACAAAATCAGCATACTAGAATCCTTTCTCTTGGCACGTCCCATGGCTTCGGTTAAGAAGAAAATGAGCCAAGATGCATCCCAACCCAGGCGGCCTCTAGACTCAGATGGAAAATAACGAGGAAGAGATGAAAAACTAAGATCCAGCAGCAGATTTAATTGACATTTCATGGATTTCAGATTTTTCAGTGGTATACAGTGGTACAGGCACAGTTTAAGGAAGGCCCTTGAAGAGGAGCCCTTGAAGAGGGGGCCTTGAAGCCAGCATCGTGCTACACCCAACCAAATGTCTTTCCTTTTATTTTAAAAAAGCAGTTCTGGCTGCAGGCACTAGAGGTGCAAAGAAGTCTGAACATAACAAAAAGCACTCTAGGATCTGCTGGACATTCTATGATTCTATGATTCTATGTGGCGTCATATCCTGTGGTCCTCTTGTTGGTGTTTTTCAGGTTATGGATATCAGGTGGAAATGATCGTATCCATGTTCACAACCATTCATTCCCTAGATCAAAATTTTGTGATTGCAGGACTTGTGCAGATCTTATTGCTGGGTGTCAAGACCACATCAGTCATGTCTTTGTGAATGGGCAACACTCTGTTTTCAATTATATTTCTATATTCATGAAGAAAAGTGTCTTGTCTTTGGAGATGCAGGGGAGCAATGTTGCACAACATAGGTAGCCTACTGACTACTGGTCAGAGTGGGTTTAATACATCCACTTATGCTTCTCATTGTTGTAATAAGTTGGAGATCAAGTTTGTGGGCATGGGGCCTGTTGAGCCACACAGAAGCACCATATTCCACAGTACTATACACTAAGGCCAAAGCTGAGCATCTAAATGTTGTAGCAGATGCACCCCAAGTTGTCGCCACATAATTTTTGGAGAATGTTGTTCCACATGCATATTTTCAGTGCTACATTGGTAAGATGGTGTGAAATAGGATAATGTAGCAAGATTCCCCCTCTTAATTTCTCTCTCTCTCTTTTCCACACATCTTTCATTCATTTCTGTCTCCCTTCACCTAACTTATATTTATTAGCTTCTATGACCAAAGGTCTTAAGCTCAGATCCTTCACCTAATCTTTCCATCCCCCGCCCCATATTTTCACTTCTTGGTCTCAAGACCTTCTCATCCCTATCTTGCTTGGTTACAGAATGTATTTAAGAGTAGTATAGTAGGAGCCCTTTATTAACGTTATGAACAGAAGGCACTGGGTTTGCTGGGCACTGTACATTGCACTGGTTCTGCTGGGCGTGCAGCCCACTTGCACTGTGGTTCTGTGCCTGACATCATCTGGCACTGCCACAATGGCACTGGGTTCTGCTGGGCACTCTGTGATTGCACTGGTACTGCTGGATACTATGTACATTGCACTGATTCTGCTGGGCTTGCAAAAATGCCCTTTCTTCAGTTTCTACTGCAAAGATTCTCTGGTTTGACTTTAGTCCTTTGGAAAAAATGGAGGTTGGGGGCACCTTCTTTGGGGGATAGTGTGTTTCTTAACATGCAGTCTGGTAAAGCTTGTGATCCCTATTTTGTGATGCTTTGGCTAGTGTTAGTAAAAGTTAGTGCAAAGGTAGCCTCCTAACTCTCAAAAATGCCTTGTTGATGTTTGGGATAGTCAACTCTTGGGCTTCAAAATGCAGAACAGTAGCCCTTCCAAGTGCCTGCTCAGAACTGTAGTGGTATGATGGATTTTTTTTTATGTCAAGTTTTTTGCTGACTTACAGTGACCCTGTAGGGTTTTCAAGGCAAGAGATGTTCAGAGGTGGTTTGCCATTGGCTGCCTCCACATTGGCCCTGCTTAGCTTCTGAGATCTGATGAGATCAGGCTATCCTGGTGCTCTCTGGGTCAGGGCTATGCTGAGAATAGTGGTACAGGCCCAAGGCCCAACAATCCTCCATGGCATGAGTGAGGATTCAAACCTGGATTTCCCAGATCCTAGTCTGACACTTTAACCAGTATACCTTGCTGGCTCTCATGACAAAATAGCATGTTAGGATTTGGATATTTTCATTGGCATGATTATATATACAAAGTTAAATAAAAGAAATTTACCCCTGCCTGTTTTTCTTTTCTGTCCATTTAAACAAAGTTTGGGGCCAGTGGCACCTTTAAGATCAAACTTTATCCTGCTGCTTCAGACCAACACAGCTACTCACCTGAATCTATTTTCTGGCCATTATTATTACTCGTTTTATTTCATAATTATTACTGAAAATAATTTTGTGGTATAGAGGAGGGCCCAGCATAGCCTGATCTCATTGGACCTCAGAAACTAAACAGGGTTGATGCGGAGGCAGGCAATGGCAAACCACCTTCGAATGTCTCTTGCCTAGAGAACCCTATGGGGTCGCCATAAGTCAGCTGTGACTTGATGGCAAAAAGAGAGAGAGAGGAGGGGGATGTTTAAAAAGTATC